GTATATAAGTCTAACTGCTATTACTATTGCTATTGCTATAATGAAAAAAGTATTAAGATACTCCCATGTGGCAAACAGCTTTTGCAATTGATTCTTCTCTCACCTTTTATCTACCTGCAATCTTTCATACCTTGTACTTCCTTCCTTCCTCCCTTCCTAATTCCCATGCAGTCCCCAAGGTTGAATATGTAAGTTTTCTTCCACAAGTGAAATGTTGGTATAGTATGATTATAACAATAGCAATAGCAGTTAGACTTATATACTGCTTTCCAGTCCTTTCCAGCCTTCTCTAAGTGGTTTACAGAGTCAGCCTATTGCCCCCAACAATCTGGGTCCTCATTTTGCCCACCTCAGAAGGATGGAAGGCTGAGTCAACCTTGAGCCTGGTGTGATTTGAATTGCCAAATTGCAGGCAGCCAGCAGTCAGCAGAAGAAGCCTGCAGTACCGCACTCTAACCACTGTGCCACCATGAATAATGAAGCTGTGGTGGCAGTTTAAAAATTGTGGTTCTCCAGTTGAACAAGTGAGAGAAGAGCTTGTTCCCTTTCACTAAAAGTAGGAAGAGGTTTCAAGGACAGATTTAAAAAAAAATGAGTAGGGATTACATGTCTTTTAAGTAAACATGGTCATACAGATCAACAACTTGAGCAAACCGGCTTCAGATACAGAAACATAATCATTTTGATTCAGATCCAGATGCTTCATACTGTGTCACAATTGCAAGGAAAAACTCTTCACAGTTTAACCAAGATCCATAATGCATCTTTTTGCACATTACACGGGGAAAATGTCCTAGGGAGAAAATCTGAGCTTAAATGAAATGGAAAATGCTCGAAGGAACTCTCGTCTTCCCAGCCAAATGATTATGCATCCATTCTGATTAGTTTGCCGTATACGTTTGCAAAGAATCCACTGTATTTGTTGCTCACCTGAGAGGTAAACATTGTCTCCAGCGCTCACCACACTAAAGAACTCCCGATCATAGAAGGGCAGGGTGGCTAGTGGGTACCACTTATTGTTCTGAGGATTGAAGCATGTGACTGCCGTCAAAGCCCGTTGATTCATTCCAATCATCTGACGTCCTCCGACTAGGACTATGACTTCTGCTACACCTAGAATGGTAATTGACCCAAACATAGATTACTTTTTATAGATACAAATACATATTATCAGATCATAATCTCTGAAGGATCATAATCTCCAATTTCCCTTACCTTGTTATTCTTTGCATAAGCCTAATTCTTTTCTGCTGTTTCATTACATTTGATTATATGCTTAGTGCACCCTGAACAGGATAAGCAGAGTAACATGTTTGTAAAATATTCCTCTTGCTGCTTAAGCAGCACACAGTGCATGGTTTTTTTCAAGATCTAATTTATGTAGACTAAATTTGGAGTATGTTTCTATCAAGTGGAAAGACATTTCCTTTTCAATATACCTTTCCTGCTAATATTTATACAATACAATACAATAGCAGAGTTGGAAGGGACCTTGGAGGTCTTCTAGTCCAACTCCCTGCCTAGGCAGGAAACCCTATACCATTCTACACAAATGGCTATCCAATATCTTCTTAAAGACTTCCAGTGTTGGGAAGTCAGAACCACCTTAAATTCCCTCACACACAGCACTGGCATGCATAAGAATATGATGTAAACTTGTTTTTTA